ATTTATTTAAAATGTTTATTGTGGTAAAATACACATAAAATTTATGAATTGAGCCATTTTGTTTATTTTTTATTTTATGTGTGTATTATGACCATATGTATGTAAGTGTACCTCAGAAGCCAGAAGAGGGTGTTGGATCCCCTGGAACTGGAGTTAATCGCCATGTGGCTGCAGGGAATTGAAGCCAGGTCTGCAAGAGTGGCCAGTGCTCTTAACTGCTGACCCATCTCTCCAACCCTAATTTTAATTTAGCCATTTGAAATGTGTGGTTCAGTGGCACACTTTGTTATACAGACATGACACTCCAGAACTTATTCATCTTCCAGAACTTAAACTCTGTCCTCATTAAACATCAGTTCCTCATTCCTCCCCTGCCCAAGACTCTTCCCTGCAAACAGCCATTCCTGTCCCTGTAAATTTTACTATAAGTGACTCCTGTAAGTAAGTTCAAACAATATTTCATCCATTTACATCTGGCTTATTTATATTACCATAGTGTATCCAAGGTTCATCTACACTGTAGTATGTGATTTTTTTTTTTTTTTTTGGTCTTTTTGAGACAGGGTCTCCCTGTAGTCTCAGCTGGCTTGGAGCTTGCTATGTAGACCAGACTTGCCTTTAACTCACAGAGATCCACCTGCCTCTGCCTCCTGAGTGCTGGGATTAAAGGCCTGTACCACCACGCCCAGCTGTTTGCATCATAATTTTATTCCTTTTTAAATTTTGTGTGTGTGTGAGTGTGTGTGTGTGTGAGTGTGTGTGTGTGTGTGTGTGTGTGCGAGTATACACATATACATGCTAGTGACTGTGGAGGCCAGAAGAGAGTGTTGGAGCCCCTGGAGCTGGAGTTACAGGCAACTGTGAGTCAACTGATGTGGGTGCTGGGAACTGAACTTTAATCCTCTGTAAGAGCAGCAAGCACTCTTAAACCACTGAACCATCTCTTCAACCCTACTTTTATTTCTTTTTAACACCGAATAATATTACATCACATATCTGTTTGTCTCACATTTCATTTATCCACTCATTTACTAATGGACATTAAGGATGTTTCCATCTTTTTACTATTGTGAATGATAATACTGTGATGAATATTAGTATGCAAATATTTATTTACGTACTTAATTTTAAATTATTTTTTAAAGAAAAGGTCTTGTATTTTATTTATCTATTTTTAAATTATGTGTATGAGGGCTTTGCCTGCATGTATGCAAGTGCGTATTTGTTTGCAATGCCTATAGAGGCCAGATGAGGGCATTAAATCCTCTGGAATTGGGACAGACCGTCGTTAGCCACCATATGGGTGCTAGGAGTCAAACCTAGATCCTCTGCAAGAGTAGTCATTGCCCTTAACCACTGAGCCATCTCTCCAGCCCCTAATTTTGTTTTTTGAAGCAAGGTTTCACTATGTAGCCTATGCTGGTCTGAAATTACTGATCCTCATTCCTCGGCCTACAGAATGATGGGATTTAGAGGTATGTGCCCAACTTAACTGTAATCAATTTAAATAGTCTGTGGAGCTGAGATGATAGTACCATTCGTAAAGTGCTTGTTACACAAACATGAGGACCTGAGTTCAATCCCCAGCATTCACATAAAAAGCTGAGCGTGGTGGCATGTTCTCGTAATCCCAGCACTGGGGAGGTGGAAGCAGGAGGGTCCCTGGGTCCCACTGGCCAGTCAGTCTAGCCTAATCGGTGAGCCCCTAGTTCCCAGTGAGAGACCTTGTCTCAAAAAGCAAAGTGGATGGCTTCTAAGGAAGGACACCTGCAGTTGGTCTTGGGTCTCTTGGTCTCTGGCCTTCACAAGTACACACACAAATGTGTGCATATACCTGTGCACACACACACATGCACCTGTACATACACAAGTAAATAATAAATAACCACACCTGTCTAGTGGCTAATCAGATGGACAGTTGTCAATCTTCTCAGTGGACAAAGTAAGAAATATGTTTAAAGGAAAAATTCATATTAATTCACATTTAATCTCCCATTAAAAGCCAAGCTTATGGGGGCTAGAGGTGCCTCAGTGGTTAAGAGCATTTGCAGCTCTAGCAGAGGACCTAGATTCGGTTCCCTGCATCCATGTAGAAGGTCACAGCTATCCGTAACTCCAGTTCCAGGGGATCCAGAGCCCCCTCTTCTGGCCTCCTTGGGCACCAGGCACATGTGTTCTACTTATATGTATGCAGGTAAAATACTCATACACAAAAAATATAATAATAATAATAATAATAATAATAATGAAAGCCAAGACTATGGGATTTTGGTTCTTTTTTATTTGTTTTGTTTTCTTAAAGTTTTATTTTTTTAATTTTTTAAAAAATTTAATATCCACATGATTAGAAGAAGCATTTCATTACAGCTTTAACATACTCAGTAACACATTCCAGAGCAAGGACACATCTCTTTATCTTATATCATTGTACAGTACTACTTCGCTTTGTCCCATTTTACATGGCAATTTCAGAATGGCAATGTCATGACTGTGACCAGAACAATTGCAAACGACTGAAGATTTATTCGCAACTTTGTCTTTGTGATATTGGCAGCCAGTATGGTCAGACTGTTGAAGTATCTCGTTTCTTTCTTTGTTTTGTCTTTGAGAAAAGGTCTGAGTGACCTATGCTGGCTTGGAACTCAAAATCTTCCTCAGCCTCTCAATAACTGGGATTACAGGCTTGAGCAACCAAGCTTGTCATAAAGTGGGGTTTTTAAGCTAAGGTTTCATATAGCCCAGATTGACTTCGAGCTCAGTATGTGGCAGAAGATGGCCTCAAACTCACCATACTCCCATATCCACCTCCTAAATGCCAGGATTATAGGTGTGCACCACCATACTTAGCTTTTGTTTTAAATTTTCATTTTAAATTACATCTTGTTCATTTGGTGGGGGGGAGGCACACATGATATGGTGCATGTATGGAGGTCAGAGGACAGTTCTCTCCTTCTAACATAGGGATCTATCTCAGGTCATGAGGCTTGGCAGCAAGTGCCTTTACCCACTGAGTCATCTTGCTGGTCCAGTGCCTTATTAAATAATTTGAAATTACCATTTTCTAGAGAAGCCTTGTGTGTGTGTTTTGAGACAGAATCTAATATAGTCCAGGCTGGCCTTGAACTCTTCACCCTATACATCACTATGTTCAGCTTGTAATCATTTTTAATGTTACTTTTTAATAAAATAGGCACTGAAGAGATGGCTCAATAGTTAAGAGCACTGGCTGCTCTTCCAGAGGACCTGGGTTCAGTTCCTAACACCTACATGGCAGCTAACAAGTGTCTGTAACTCCAGTTCTAGGGAATCCAACGCCCTCTTCTGTTCTCCACAGGCATTGTATGACATGCAGGGGAAACACTCACATACAACAAATAATAAATATTTTTAAAAGAAGAGCCAGAAGGCAAACCATTTCCAACAGACAGGACTTTCATTTATCCCACAACGTGGAAATGCCTGCTGTGGGGACGGGAAGCTGGACCCTCAGCCTTGGAAGCTCCTCGGTGCAGGGAAAGCTCAGTCAGAAACTCCAGCTGCCTGCCTCAACTTTGCCAGTCCATTCCTGCTGGATGTTTGCACCCTCTGATGAACCTGTGTCTGCACTCAGTCAGGCTACTCGGGACGTGTCTGGTGGATGCTGTCAGCTCTATTTGACGACGTTTGTAGCTGCTGCCTCTCTTTATGTGTATGGGTGTATTGCCCGCATGTGTGTAAGTGCACTCATGTCATACAATGCCCATGGAGGACTGAAGAGGGCATTGGATGGCCTGGAACTGGAGTTACAGATGGTTGTCAGCAGTCATGTGGGTGCTGGAATTTGAACCCAGGTCCTCTGCAAGAGCAGCCAGTGCTCTGAACCACTGGGCCATCTCTCCAGCCGTGTCTGCTGTGCGACCTGCTATTATTCTTTGACTTCTGGTCTCTATATACTTACTAAGCTCACTCAGCTGAAAGCTGGGCTACGTGGACCATCCTCCAGACCGTACAGAACCGGGATCAATTCCCAGCACCACAAAAACCAAAAGTACAAATTAAAGTGAGCTGGTCCGTGACCCAGCCTCCCCAGACTCCCTCCCCCACCTCCCTGAGGTGGGCACAGCCTCGGTGCTTAGTCAAAGGGTAAAGCAAGGCGTTGCCAGGCCCCCCTGTCACCGCAGAGAAGCAGCCGCGTCCTGTCCATTCACAGGCTGCAGACAGCGGGGACCGAGAGGCGGCCACACTGCAGTCAGATGTCACCATCCAGACGGCGTCCTGAGGGGCTCCGCCTTTTATGCTGGTTGATCCAAGTTTAAACTGGTTCGGGCCAAGCTGTCCAGCGCAGCCGGCCTGGGGAGCACTGTCTGAGGGACCTGCTCGGCCTCCGGGACAGCCGCACTGCGCCTGCGCCTGCTGGGCCGAACCACCGCCCTGAGGGGAGCGCTTGTCCTCCGGATGGAGCCTTCCGTTGCCATGGAGACGCAGGCCCAAACGACGCGGCAACCGACTAGTTGTTTATGGATCCCTGCCGTAAAAGGGTGGCTGAGGGGACACTGCTGAGGGGACACTGCAGAGGGACACCGCTGAGGGACACCACTGAGGGACATTGCTGAGGGGACACTGCTGAGGGACATTGCTGAGGGGACACTGCTGAGGGACACCGCTGAGGGACATTGCTGAGGGACACCGCTGAGGGGACACCGCTGAGGGGACACTGCTGAGGGACACCGCTGAGGGACATTGCTGAGGGGACACTGCTGAGGGGACACCGCTGAGGGGACACTGCTGAGGTGACACTGCTGAGGGGACACCGCTGAGGGACACTGCTGAGGGGACACTGCTGAGGGGACACTGCTGAGGGGACACTGCTGAGGGACACTGCTGAGGGGACACTGCTGAGGGACATTGCTGAGGGGACACCGCTGAGGGACATTGCTGAGGGGACACCGCTGAGGGGACACTGCTGAGGGACATTGCTGAGGGGACATTGCTGAGGGACATTGCTGAGGGGACACCGCTGAGGGACATTGCTGAGGGGACACTGCTGAGGGGACACCGCTGAGGGACATTGCTGAGGGGACAGTGCTGAGGGACATTGCTGAGGGGACAGTGCTGAGGGGACACTGCTGAGGGGACACTGCTGAGGGGACATTGCTGAGGGGACACCGCTGAGGGACATTGCTGAGGGGACAGTGCTGAGGGGACACTGCTGAGGGGACAGTGCTGAGGGGACATTGCTGAGGGACATTGCTGAGGGGACACTGCTGAGGAACATTGCTGAGGGGACAGTGCTGAGGGACATTGCTGAGGAACATTGCTGCAGAGTTGTGCGGACACCCATTGCAGAGGGCCTGAAGGACGAGGTGTTCACAGCCTCCTCTGAGGACGGTCTGCTCAGCCGCTCGGTGGTTGGCAGCGTGACTGTGAGCACCACGGGAAACACCATCGAGGAAGGCGCGAAGTGGAGCTGGTGAGAACATTGTGCCAGTCTTCTTTGATGAGACCCTCACCCCACCGCTCCAGGGACACTGTGGGGAACCTGCACTGAGGCACTGGAGTCCTGGGGGCACTGAGGACACTGGGGGCACTGGGGCACTGGGGCACTGGGGACACTAGGGACACTGGCTTTCTAGCTTGGTTTTCCATGAAGGAATACGCCTTTCTCTGAGTAAAGTCCTTACAGTGTTCCTTGACCATCTGCAGTGGCGGGGCATTGAGCTAGGGAAGAAGCGGTCACTCAGGGACCACTGAGTCTCCGATAAGCAGTGCCGGGTTCCTGCACAGCGCAGATTACCATCCAAGGGGTAGAATCTCAGGAATGCCAGGAACACCTAGAACACAGCACACCCGGAACATCCAGAACACCAGAACACCTACAACACCCACAACACCAGGCCCCTCTCTGCTTCCACCATGCACTGACCTATGATTCTCATTTTCTTGCTTAACTTTAGTTTAGGAATTCATACTTAATAATTTTCACCTCAACTATTTAGACAGGCTCATAGCCCAGGCTGGCCTCCAACTCACTATTACCCCAGGGTGACCTTGAACTTCTGGTCCTCTGCCTCAATCTCCTGAGCTGTGGGATTCCAGGCATGGAGCATTCCTTATTTATGCTGTTTTGGAGATGGAACCCAGGGCCTCATGCATGCTGGACAAGCACTCTCCCAACTGAGCTATAGTCCTAGCCAAAGGTCTAGCTTAGAACAAATTATCCTCCTGTCTCATCCTCTTCAGATTTGCCTTCTAGTGAGTGCTAATATGGCTGGCTCACCTATTATTGAACTTCATAGAAATGGAATAAAACCATATTCTTTTAAAAAAAAAATCTTGGGGCTGGAGAGATGGCTCAGCGGTTAAGAACACTGGATGTTCTTGCAGAAGACCCAGGTTCAAATCCCAGCACCCACATGGCAGCTAACAACTGTCTGTAACTCCAGTCCCAGGGGACCCGACAGCCTCTTCTGTCCTCCTCGGGCATTGCACGACACAGATGCACTTACCCTACGTGCAGGCAATACACACACACCCATAAAAAAATAATAATTTTTAAATAGGCCACGACTCACATAAAAGTTGCAAGGTCAGCACACTTGATTTCCTGAAACTTCTGAGAGGACGTTACCTTCATAATTTACTACTATGTAGTAGGTAGAGTACATTTCCTACACACAGCAAATGTTTTCCATCATGTCATTGCAGCACCACCAGTCAGAAGAGTAACATGAACATCCCACTCTGTCTAATCTTTAGTCCTTGTCAAATTTGTTTCGTCAGTTGACCCTGTAAGGTCTCTAAAGTAAAAGGATCAAGTCTAGGATCATAACATACTCTTCCCTGAGTTGTCATGATGCCTTTTTAGTCCCGTTCAGTCCAGAACATTCGTCAACTGGACCTTGTCCATCATGACCCGGACACCTTTGAAGGCTACAGGCCAATGACTAATGAAGGCTGCTCTATGGAGTTTGTCTGATGTTTCCTTGAGATTATATTCCCGTTATGTATCTAAGGCCGGAAAGTGACGGAAGTGACACCATGCTATGAGGCTTCCATCCTGTCACGTGATCCTCAACAGTCAATGTATCACTTATTCTTTGAGGTGCTTGATTAAGGTAGTTTCTGGCAGCATCCCCACTGGGAAGTTACTTCTTTCCTTTGCAATTAAGTCTTCTTGTGAGGAGGTCCTGTGAATCTATGTAAACATGCCGTTCCTTGCAGGCTTGAGCTGGGTGGCACTCATGGTGTTCACCTACCTCAACCCTGCTTGGACTCTGACCCTGAACAGCACTCCCACCTCCTTTATGGCTTCCCTCTTCCCTCTCAGGCACGAGCATCCACATCTGGGCACTCTGATTCACCTGCCTCACTTACCCTGTCTACCCCACCCACCCCACTCAGGGTTCCTATTTCAAAAGGAAAGAGGAGCAAAGGGGGAACATGTGCGCTTTGGTGTCTCCCTCCCTCCCCAGCTGTTTTGGAAGTTATCAACACTCTTGTGTGTGGCCATGCACCATTTGCTTCCTGGCCACATGGTATTCACTGTAACAATCATTCCACCACATGGTTGTGGCCACTGGAGCTGCTTCCAGAGTTATTGTTGCTCTATAAAGACTTGTGTGTCTCGTCACATGTGTATTTTTAGCTAAATTGTATCTTCTCAAAATTCATACATTGGTCTGGGCTTGTAGCTCAGTGGTATAGCACTTGCCTAGCATTTATAAGGCCCTGAATTTGATGTGCAGTACTTTTTAAATTTTTATTTATTATTTTTATTTTATGTGTATGCATGTATTGCCTGCATGTAGGTAAGTGCAATGCCCGTGGAGGTCAGAAGAGGCTGTCAGATCCCCTGGGACTGGAGTTACAGACAGTTGTTAGCTGCCATGTGGGAGCTGGGATTCGAACCCAGGTCTTCTGTAAGAACAATCAGTGTTCTTAACCACTGAGCCATCTCTCCAGACCCAGATGTGCAGTACTTTTTAAAAAGCCAAGCATGGTGCCACATATCTGTAATTCTAGCACTGGGGAGGTTGAGGCAGGAGGACTGCTACAACTTCAAAGCCAGCCTGGGCTACATAGTGAAACCGTGTCTCAATATTTTTTCATGTTAAAGTCATAATCCCTAGCATCTGAAAACATGGTCTTATTTGGAAATGGGTTGTTGGTTGTAATTAAGAGGAGATCATCCTGGAGCAGGGCAGGGTTCCTGATTCTACATGGTGTCCCTGTTAAGAAATAAATTTGCACAGAGAGGCCATCATGTGGAGATGAGTTTCATTACTACAGCCGAGGTACCAGAAGCTTGGGAAAAGGCTTAAGACAGGTCTTAAGGGTCGGTGAGATAGCTCAGTAAGGAGCTTGCTGCCAAGCCTGATGATCTGAGTTTCATCCCTGGGACCCACATGGTACATGGTAAAAGGAAAGAACCGACTTCTGCAAGATGGCCTCTGACCTCCACAAGAAGGCACACACACACACACACACACACACATATACACACACACACAGAGTGAGCGAGCGAGAGAGAGAGAGAGAGAGAGTTTTTAAAAGTCTTTCTCTTACATCTTTACAAGCAACATGACTCACCTAGCACTTGATTCCAGAATTCTGGCCTCAAGACTGTGACAAAATAAGCTTTTGTGTGTAAGTCATGCAGGTTGTGGTGCTTTGTCATGGCAGCCCTGGAAAACTAAAGTGACAAGTGAGAGTTCTGTAGGGTCAGCTCCAAGGAGCGGTTCCCCTCCAAGAAGAGACCAGCTGAGTCAGAGATTAGAGTAAGCAGAACAGTAGTTCCAAAGATACCCATGTTCTAATCCTCTGGACCTGTAAAAAGGGAAGTCTTATGGCTAAGAGGAATTGAGATGGTTCATCAGCTGCCTTCAAGATGGGAGAGTTACCCTGGGTCATCTAGGTAGGCTAAATGCAGTTTACTTCAAGAGTTTTTAAGTAGAAGAGGGAGGCAGGAGAAAACCACAAAGGCCCATTGCATGGTTGACTCCACTGACACAGCAGCTTTGAACATAGTAGAATGGGGGCTGGAGCCAAGGAGTGAGGACCACTCTTGATAAAGTGGGAAAGGCAAGTAAATGTGTTCTTTCTCTAAAGCTTCCAAGGAACACAGCCATGCTCTTCCAGAACAAATTAGTCCCAGTGTATAAGGGCCAGCCTCAGGGTGCTGTGAGGCTAGAGAAAGGGGAAGAAAACGCTAGAGTTATACAGAGTGCAGTTTACCGTGGGCTTTACTGGCAACTGTGGGTCTGAATGACAGCAAAACCAGTTGGATCCCTACAATTTGGGTCAAAAAGAGGGGTGTATTTATGGATTAGGACAAAAATGGTTTCATTCACTCTTAATGTACCTATTTATCTTAAGATACTGTCAAATCTGGATATGATGACATGCCACTGTAATACCAGCCCTTGAGAGGCTGAGACAGGAGGACTGTGAGTTCGAGGTCATAGTGAGATGCTGTCACAAAAAAAAAAAGAAAAAAGATCAGAGCCAGGTGGATCCCTGAAGCCAGGATCTATTTGTAAAGCACTATACAAGGCACTAATGATTTTATCTATAATTTATGAGGAATATGGCCAGAAAAAAACAGGTAGGGCTATCTGGAGGCAATCATGGTGATTATGATTCAAGATGGCAGTGGGTATGTCAAGTGGATACCATACGCCTACTAGCACCTTGGTTTTAGCTCCGTGAGACATTTCAGATGTCTGACCTCCAGAGCTACATAATAAAGTTGTGCTATTTTAAGCCATCGAGTGTGTGGCAATTTATTATGGTAATAGGGAAAAGCAGAGGGTATGTTCATTTTTGCTCTATAATGCCTAGCACTTGTCGAAGCCCTAGTTCTCAGTTCACCGTTGGTGCATGCTTGTCTCACTGTTTCATGTCCTTGTCAGCACCTGCTGGGTCTTCATGTGCTCCCGCTCCTGAGTCTGATGACTCACAGTGGCTTTGGTTTGCAGTTCCCTTACAAATGATGTTGAACAATTTTTCTTGATTTATGATCATGAAATAGTTTATCAACCAAGAGAGTACTGCATAAATAATGGCAGGAGAACAGATGTGCAGCCAGACATGCTAATGAACTGGATACATGGCTGTTATGTATATTTGCTGAAAGTCCCTTATTATAAGGCTCCTGATAATAAAGATTTTTGCCTGTGTTTCTACTAGGCTGTATGCTCTGCATAAACTCTACATACTTTGCATGATCTTGATGTTAAACCTTTTGGGTTTTGGGTTGTAATTTTCTACACCACAGCTTTTCTCTGAGTCTCCTTGGGATGTCAACTGATCAGAAGTTTTCAAATGCGTTTGGTGTCTCAGAAACCTTGAGGTCATGAAGCCTCCTTTGCCATTGCTGCTGTGGTGGTTTCACTTTTCATAGGTGAGGCCTAATTTCCGCAGAGCTGATTTTAAGCAGGTTCAGTTTCTTAGCATGCCTTCTGAAAAACACCCAGTCCTGCTTCTGAGCCATCAGATTTTGAACTAAGTAGTGTCGGTCCTTAGCAACCAGTCTCTAGATGCTCTAGCCCACCCTGCCTTTGCCATAGCACCGTTCTTATTTTGTAGCTTTAGAATAAATCTTATTATTGGTGGGACACTCCTCCCTCACTCCCCTTCAGCACTATTTTTGTCCTTTGTTCTTCCACATATATTTTTAAATTTATTAGGCAAGTTTCTGATATTCTTTTTTTTGACTGTGTGATATAATTATGGGGTACAAAGTGCTGCTATTATTTATGAATACAGTATGGAAACGCCAGCCTCCTGAGGACCCCATAGGGACCGTAGCTGTGTGTCCCTGCACCCTTTACTCTTTTTGTTGTCGTCATTGCTTAGTTCCTGTAAATTTTGAGTTTTTAATCTATGATCTTGCCGATGTGTATTTTGTAATAATGTTTTGCAGCTAATTTCTGTCTCCCGATATGGAAGAAGGTACTAGCCCACTCTCTGAGGAGGACCTTGTGGACAACGCCCCTGCAGTGGATGATGGTATCAGAGCCTTTCACAAATGAGACAAGTCTCGGCAATGAGGACAAACAACGTGCTCTTTGGTTGTCCTTTAATTCCCTTTGTTTCAGGGATAGAACATCTATAAAATCTATAAAATTTACTGTTCTCTTTGGTTGGAAACAAAAGCTATGGCTAGAATTTGAAAGTGGCAGACCGTGGTTTCCAGTATCACCACTGAGAAGTTGGTGTCATTTTTATCTTAATCCTTTGAACGTGACCTGTTTTTATTTTCCTGGAAGCTTTTAAGATTTCTTTAAAATTTTTCTGATGATCTGAAACTTTTCTGAGCTGTCCTTGATTTGGGTCTTGTGATGGTCCCCAGGGGTCCTTTCCAGCCTTCAAACTTGGTTCCCTGTCTGTGTTTTCTGAGTCCGTGAGGACCCCAGTCCCCAAACCACACTGTTCCTGAACTTTCCCCCTTCTGGGTTTGGATGGCTCCCAACCAGTCTTCCCTTTCACGCTCCTTGTGTAGTAGGCTTGGGATCTTTCAATTTTTTTTCAGTAATTTTTACAGATATATAATGAAGACTTGGAGATAAACCTATAATGTACCATACTTTACAGGAGGTCTACAGTGATGTTTTCAAGACAAATTTTTTTTAAATTTTATTTGCTTGAACATTTTGCCGGTGTGTATGTAAGAGCACCAGTGCAGGCAATGCCCATGGAGACTAACGGAGGGTGTTGAAGCCCCTGGAACTGGAGCTATGGACAGTTGCAGCTGCCATGTGGGTGCTGGGAACTGAACCTGTGTCCTCTGCAAAAGTAGCCAGTGCTCTTAACCACTGAGCCGTCTCTCCAGACCCCAAATTATTTTTTAAATTTAATTGTTTTTACATTTATTTATTTGTGTGTGTGTGTGCGCGTGCATATGTGCGCACATGGGCATGTGGAAGTCAGAGGACAATTTGATGGAGTTGGTTTTCTCCTTCCACCATGTGGATTCTGGAGATTGAACTCAGGTGACAAGGCTCTTTACCCACTGAGCCATTTCACTGGCCCTCATATTTTTTAAGAATCCTACATTTAAAGTTATTGGAAACTCAGAGAACTTTTGTGTGTATTACTTCTATCCCTCCTCATTTACTGTGTTAAAAAGTAAAGCTAAGCTGGGCATGGTGGCGCATGCCGGCAGATCTCTGTGAGTTCAAGCCCAGCCTCATCTACATAGTGAGTTCCAGGACAGCTGGGGCTACAGGGAGACCCTGTCTCAAAAAGACAAAAAAAAGTAAAGCTGAGCCAGACATAGTACACATGCTTGTAATCCCAGCATGTGGGAGGTCCAGGCAGGAGGACTGATTTGAATTCAAGGCCAATCTAGGCTACCAAGGGAAACCCCCTGTCTCAAATTAAAACAAAACAAAACCCAAAGAAAGTAAAACTGAGCTGGGTTTGGTGGTAATGTCTGTAATTCCAGCACTCAAGTGGTTGAGGCAGGACAATAGCAAATTCAAAGTCAGCCTAAGCTACATAGCAAGACTCCATCTGAAACTGGGAAGCTGGGGCTGGAGATATGACTCAGCAGTTAAGAGTACTTGATCCTCTTGCAGAGGACCTGGGTTCGGTTCCCAGAACCCACACAGCAGTTAACAACCACCCATAACTCCAGTTCCAGGGGATACAACGCCCTTTTCCAACTTCCCTGGGTTTGCACACAGGTGATGCACTTACATACACGTAAGCAAAACATGTACGTAAAATGAAAGTAAAGTCAAAATAATTTTTTAAAGTAAAGTTGAAAACCTTTTAAACAGCAACAACAAACTATTATAAGTGAAACAGACTCCAGTTCAATAGGAGCTAACAGGACCCTTCATGTCCTGTGGCCTCCTTTACTCCACTGTGCAAAGTAGAGACAGTTTGAGGTCTGAAGACACCCAGAAGGAATCTTGGGAACCTCCAGAGTTCCCTGGATCACACTTGAGAAATATGCTTCCCTAAGTAATTTGATCTGGTCAGAATTTGTGCTAAAACTTCAGACTTAAATGCTTGATCTGCAGCACTGGTTGGTTGGTTGGTTGGTTGGCTGGTTGGTTGGCTGGTTGCTTAGTTGGTTGGTTGGTTGGTTGGCTGGTTGCTTGGTTGGTTGGTTGGTTTCTTAAATTACTTGTGTAGAATTGTAGAATCTTGTTGGGTAAGACCATTTAAAAATTTATCTAAAGTTCCTTTTTTTTCCTTTTTGTTTTGGGAAAGGATCTCCCTGTGGCCCCAGGTGACCTGGAACTCGCTATGTAGACTGGGCTGGTCTTGATATCCCAGAGATTCACTTGCCTCTGCCTCCCAAGTGCTAGGACTAGAGGTGTGCACCAATTCCAGCTCTTGTTTAACTCTCAGGGAGCTCTTGTTTAACTCTTGTTCTTGGTTGGTTGCTTGGTTGGTTGGTTGCTTGGTTGGTTGGTTGGTTGCTTGGTTGGTTGGCTGGTTGGCTGGTTGGTTGGTTGGTTGGTTGGCTGGTTGGTTGGTTAGTTGGTTGGTTGGCTGGGTTTTGGTGTGGTTTTTGGCTCTTTTAATTTTTTAATTTATTCTGTAATAATTTTGGAGGGGTATTTTGAGACAGGGTTTCATGCCTTCCACGCTGGCCTCAAACTTGCTATAGACAAGAATATGACCTTGATCCTGCTTCCCCGCCTCTACCTCCCCTGGACTAGGATCACAGGCATGAGCCACCACACTCTGTCTGCAGTTTGTTTTGTTGTTGTTGTTGCTTTTGTTTTGCCTTTTTTTTTCACTGTTTTCTTGATTTCTAGAAAGAGTTGAATTAGAGGATCCAGAATTTGGGTTAGAATCGATTCCTCAGGGAGTTGAGGACACCTCGGACCTAGGATGCTGTTGGTAATTAATTCATGGAGATGCGACTTCCTACCTTTGAACTACCGTTCTAGTGGGGCTGTGGAGCTGTCAGGTATAGATCGCCCTGAGGTGGTGCTGAGTATCATGGCTGATGTGCAGCAAATGTTGTCTTTTTATTTCAAGTTCAATGCAAGGACAGAAACAGAGTGGTAAGAAAATGAAGAAGACAACTGCTAACGACAAAGTCCAGGCATTTCATCTTCGGAAGAGCTTGAACTTCCTGGACAAACTGCATGAGGAGAAGGACCTTTTTATTCAGAAGACCAGGTGAGCCCACCTGCTGAGGGTCCACCTTCTGTCTGGACAGTTGTGTGCATGGGAGATCCTGGCTTTGTTTCCCTGAGCGCTCTTCACCAGGAACAGCCAAAAAGCCTCACCAGACACAGTGCCCGGGCCTTCAGCACTTTTCCCTCCCTCAGTCCTGTGAAGCTGCTACAGAGCTAATGCTCGTGAGTCCTTCTGGCACTTCGTGACCATCTGGCGTCCGCATGGGGCCTAGCACACACCAGGTGTGACTGAAGCTTTAGTGCACAGACTCCTACTTCTCAGAGTCCTGATGATCTAGCCTTGCTGACACCTGGTATCTGTGGGTTTACGTTCCGTTCTACATACTAGAATAGTCAGTTGCATAGTCAGTATTCCCCAACATCCGAGAAGAAAAATCTCAAATACACAGAAAAGTTGGAAACTAATAGTAGGTGGTTGTCCCCTGAATACCACCACTAGATCACTGCCTAGCTTTCCCCCAAATACATGTAAACATGTGTGTCATAGCTATGATTCTTTTGCTGAATCATTTGAAAGCAAATTTCAGGATCATGATCCTTTCTCCTATTTCAGTGTCTGTGAAAAGTAAAAGCATGTTTCTGCATGACCTCACCACCTACTATGTCGAGACTAGTGCTGTCCTAGTACCAACCTCATGCCCATGTGCTACAGTTTCCTGGTCATCCTCCAAGGTTCTTTTAGAGCTCATACTTGGGACTTTGTTCGGTTACTTTCTGCCGAGGTGAAGGTCACATAACAGGAGCTAGTATTTCATTCAGGCCCACACAGACAGCTGCTTTGTGTTGCAGCGTGCTGAGGAGGACCTGCTGCCATGTCAGCTGTGTGCCCTTCAGGCACCTGTGTGTATACCGGCCCATGTTAACTGCATTTCCCTTGACTGTCTAGACCCATCACCTTTGGGAGGAAGTTACAGAGTTGGCTCCTTTGGCAGGGTTTTCAGAGGACAGGCATATAAGACCCTGCCTATGTCACTGGATAGAGTCAAAGAGACACCTAGAAAGAGGTTTTCTTAGTTCCTGGCCTGAGCCCTGTCCCTCCCTACACCCTCACCCCTCTGGCCCCTTCTGAGGCTATAACTTTAGAATGACAGAATGCCAATTCTTCTTTTAATATTTTAGAGAGGAGCTGCGTGTCTGTCACCAAAGGATGGACTTCCTCAGCAAACAGCAGGAGAGTTTAGCAGCCGAGATCTCCACGGAGAGAGAAGCCAACAACATGTAGGTCATCTTTGTGGGCAAGGAGGTTGAACTTGGACAGGCAAGTGACCTTTCCAGTCAAGGTAGCGCCATACCACAGAGGCTCATTCATTCACTCAGCAAAGGTGTGTGCTAAGTGTCTGCTGTGTTCAGGTAGTCAGGCAGACAGCCTTGCTCCAGGGTGGGGAACAGACAATATAACACAAAGGGAAATGGCTCAATTGGTAAATATGTTTGCTGTGGAAGCATGAGGCCCTGAATATGAGCCCCAGCACCCAAGTAAAAAGAAAGCTGGGTACTGCAGTGCACACCTGTAATTCCAACACCAGGAAGGCAAGGACAAGAGAGTCCAGAGGGGCTTGCCGGCCAACCTGGTTGGCCAAATCTGTGAGCTCCAGGTTCAGTGACAGATTCTGTGCCAAAAAAATAGACAGTGATTGAGGAAAACACCTGATGTTGGCTTCTGTCCACATGAATACACACACACACACACACACACACACACACACACACATACACATACACACACACATACACACACACATGAACATACACACAAATAATAATAAAAAATAAAGAAAAAAAAGAGATGTCAGTATAGGGACTGAGGTCAGGGAGTGGACAGGCTAAGCCCATGCAGCTGATTAAGTAACAGTTCTGGCCTTGGTTACTATGATGGAAATGGCTCCTTTATGGGGTTTTTATATTTATTTACTTATTTGTGTATTTATCTATTTGGAGACAGTGTCTCATTTGTAGTCTATGCTATCCTCAAATTCATAATCCTTCTGCCTCAGCCTCCCAAGTCCTGGGGTTTAGGCCTGAGCCACCACACCTGGCTCTTCCTGGGTTTTAAAAACCTATCTCATTCTGTGAGCTCCAGGTTCAGTGACAGACTGTCCCAAAAACAAAAAAATAGACATTGATGGAGGAAGACACCTGATGCTGACCTCTGGATGCATGCACATGCACACAATAATAATGGGTATGGTGGTGCATGTCTTTAGTTACAGAGCATGTCTTTAGTCCTAGCACTTGGGAGGTAGAGGCAGGGACAGGTGAATCTCTGTGAGTTCAAGACCAGCCTGGTCTATGTAGTGAGTTCCAGGACAGCTGGGGCTACAGGGAGACCCTGTCTCAAAAAGACCAATAATAATAATAATAATAATAATAATAATAAAAATAATGAAAAAAAGTGATGTCAGCAGCTCAGTATCCATAAGTGATCCCAGTGCACATCAGTTACTTGGAACCTGCTTCCCAGTGCCACATGGGTGCAGGGGCATTTCATCCATGTCCTTTGGCCAGTACCAGTCAGCCTTTTCTCATCGATGAGGCCCTCTCTTTGGCTTTCACCTGCAACATGTTCCCACCACGAAGAGCTCATCATCCCATAGAGATTACATCTAGCAGTGTAATTGGGCTTCAACAACAGTAGATGGCACAGTAGACTGCACTGTGAGGAGGGAAGAGGGACAGTGAGGGTTCAGAGCAGCTCAGGACAGGAGGGGCTGGGTAGTGTAGTGTTTCAGGGAGCATTTTGGGTATTTCCTGGATTTGAGGCTTGGGCCTGCTGCTCTGAGGGGCCTGGCAAGAAGATTTTTGCTTCTAACTTTCTAAGAGAAAATGAGAGGCCAGCAGCAGAGGAGAGAGGACTGGGGATGAGGCCAGGCTCCTCCCAGTCCCTCAGGTAAGGCCCTACCTTGGTCCTACTGGACCAGCAGGAAGAAGGTGTAGGAAATCCCTTACATTGACACCGCAGGACCTCACTCTGTGTCAAACACTTCAGATAGATTTTCCTCCTGAAAATAGGATGGCCAAGGGAAGGCTCTGGGCTGTGCCCCATGGTGCTGACCTGTGGCCCGTTCTGTCTTCTGTCGCTGTGCCCCATGGTGCTGACCTGTGGCCCGTTCTGTCTTCTGTCGCTGTGCCGCATGGTGCTGACCTGTGGCCCGTTCTGTCTTCTGTCGCTGTGCCCCATGGTGCTGACCTGTGGCCGTTCTGTCTTCTGTCGCTGTGCCGCATGGTGCTGACCTGTGGCCCGTTCTGTCTTCTTTCCCTGTGCTCCAGGGCAGCTGTTGGACGACTTCAGGCTGCATCCAGACGCCTGCACACAGAACTGGAGAATGAGAGAGGCCTGAAGTCAAAACTCACAGCCATGCTGAAAGAAATCGAGTAAGTTTGCAAGAGCCTGTAAGAGCAGGCTTGGGAAGCGATCCCCTGGTTGTTTAGCAGCATGCAGATCTCAAGCAGCTTGTGGGATAATTCCTACTTGGAAGGTAAAAAACAAAACCCCGTTTTCATTTCCAAGTTGCTTTGAAATTAAAAAGTAACAAGTTGAAGTAGATGAAAGGAGAAAACAACATGTTTTACAGTGTTCACTTTCTTCACATTTGTTTACAACCTTAGTAACTGAAAAAGCAGTTTCTTCCCTTCTTTTCCTTGTTCCCTGTGCCTCTTGGGCTAGGGCTCAATGGTAGAGCTTTTGAATAGTGTGCACGAAGTCTTGACTTGAGCCCCAGCACTGATAAAGAGGACTGGAGAGATGGCTGAGAGGTTAAGAACACTGACTGGTTCCTGCAAAAGACCCAGGTTTGATTCCCAGCACTCACATGGTAGCTAACAACCATCTGTAACCCTAGTTCCAGGGGATCCAACAGCCTCTTCTGTCCTCTGTGGGCATTGCACAACACAGGTGCACTTACCTACATGCAGGCAATACATGAATACACATAAAATAAAAAATAATAAATAAAAAAATTTTTTGGTCTTTTTGAGACAGGGTCTCCCTGTAGCCCCAGCTGGCCTGGAACTCACTATGTAGACCAGGCTGGCCTTGAACTCACAGAGATCTGCCTGCCTCTGCCTCCTGAGTGCTGAGAGTACAGGCATGCACCACCATGCCCAGCAAAAAAAATTTTTTTAAGGAAGTATCCTCACAGGGTGTGCTGGTGCATGCCTTTGATCCCAGCACTCGTGAGGCAGAGGCAGGCAGATCTCTGAGTTCAAGGCCAGCCGGGTCTCCATAGCAAATCCAGGCCAGCTGGGTCTATAGGGAGACCCTGTCTCAAAAAGACAAAAAAAAAAAAAAAAAAAAGGAAGTATCCTCAACTTTCCTCAAAGCATCCACAGAAAAGCAACAGCTGCATGATTTTAAGTATTCTACTGGTCAGAGTTTAGGTTGTAAATATTAGAACTGCTTCTGATGAGTCCATGAAGAAATGGTTTCTTATGGGGTATAAACAGCTCATTGATTACACTGATGCAGACAGCCTAGTGAGCCTCAGGCCTGCTGCCCAACTAGGTCCAGATCACAGTTCCACTGTTAGATGACTGCAAGTAAAGTTGGAAAGCTTTCCAGTCTGACACACGATCTGCCAGAAAGCAACCCTGACTAAACGCAGCAGCTGCTGGTCCTTGTCGTACACCAAACAGAACCAAACCTCTCTCCCTCCCTCGGTGTACTCTCGGACTTTAAACCAGTTCCTGGGTCGTACCTGCTATTAGTTGGTCACAATCCAAGCCAATATCTTGTGATACCCCCCCATAATGGAGCCACATACAATTCAGGGAGACATGCAGCTGGGGAGAAGTCAGTCTATTTGTGGCTGAGCAAGAACTGGATGTGGGTATTTATACTGCCTTGATTGACACTTGGCTGGCATTTTTCTCTCTGAGGTTCAGAACTCAGGGCAGGCAAAACTTGGAGGTCCTGTCTATAAGGGGATGCTGTGAGCATCCATTTACTTGAAAAATTTTCTTTTTAGCTGGGCATGGTGGCGCACACCTTAAATCCCAGCACTTAGGAGGCAGAGGCAGGTGGAGCTCTGTGATGTCAAGGCCAACCTGGTCTACATAGCAAATTCCAGGCCTGCTGGAGCTACAGGGAGATCCTGTCTCTAAAAACAAAAAAAAAAAAAAAAATTTTTTTCTTTTTACTCTAAAACAATGTCAAGCTTATAGCAACAATTTTAAAATGGCTGTGGCATCTTCCTCTATCACCAATGCAGCAGCATCCCTTTTCTCTGAAACTTCTCTTGCTGTCATCCCTTTCTGACCACACTGGTGATTCAAATGAAGGGGCGCTCTTGTGGGGTTCCTATCTGTTTGTGTAGAACCTGAGATAAAGTTGCCACTGCCCCAGGCCCCTTTTGCCTATCTGCTTTGAGACACACTGTGCCCACCTTCCCACCTCCCAGGCCTGCCTTAATCAACACAGCCTTTTTTGTTGGTCGGTTGGTTGGTTGGTTGGTTGGGTTTTTTTGTTTGTTTGTTTGTTTGTTTGTTTTGTTTTGGGGGGGTCTTTTTGAGACAGGGTCTCTTTGTAGTCCTAGCTAGCCTGGAACTCACTATGTAGACCAGGCTGGCCTTGACTTCACAGAGATCTACCTGCCTCTGCCTCCCAAGTGCTGGGATTAAAGACATGCACCACCATGCCTAGTGACAGAGACACAGCCTGTTTTTAAAGGCAGTATCTCCCACCTGTGTCTGTGACACACATAAAAAGACCAGCACAATGCCTTTGCACTACACTGGAGCTACAATGAAGGGAGTGTTCCCTACTCTGGACAAAACCTATATAGCATGTTCCCTCCAGGTACCTGGACCCTTTCCACCCAACAATGAGGAGCTTCTTTCCAATATCTCAGCTCTCTTAGTCCAGGTTTTCTCCAGCTACCAAACAACTCATTAGTGGGAGAGAAATGGACTCAACTCCATAAGTCATGATCTTTTTAACAGTGGGGCTGGAGAGATGGCTCAGCGGTTAAGAGCACTGATTGCTCTGCATGGGACCTGGGTTTGAATCCCATTAACCACATGGTGGCCAACAACCATCTGTAATTCCAATTCCAGGGGATCCAACACCCTCTTCTGACCTCTGCAGCATTGCGTGACATGAGTGCACTTACATACATGCAGGCAATTCACTCATAAAATAAATAAAATACATTTTTAAAATAATTTAACAAAATAACAATGGAAGTAAAATATCTTAATACAAGTTAGCACATTTATTTTATTTCTAAAAGATTTATTTTTGCCGGGCATGGTGAGGCACACCTTTAATGCCAGCACTCAGGAGGCAGAAACAGGTGGATCTCTGTGAGTTCAAGGCCAACCTGGTCTACATAGTGAGTTCCAGGCCAGCTGGGGCTACAGGGAGACACTATCTCAAGAAGACCAAAAAAAAAAAAATACAAAACCAAGATTTATTTTTATATTATGAGTGTGTGGTCTACACATATGCGTGCATTTGCACCTCCTGCAGAGGCCAGGAAAGGGCATCAGATTCCCTGGAACTGGAGTTACAGACAGTTATTAGCCACCATGTGGGTGCTGGGAAATAAGCCGGGTCTTTTGAGTCATCTCTTTAGCTCCAAGTTAGCACATTTGTAAAAACCTCCATCGATGATGAACAGTTTGAGGCATTTGCTTTACCCTCAGATATGCCAAGATTTGACTGAAACAATTCTTTCCAGTGTTGTACTGCGGGTCACACACCTTCTATCGTCAGCTCTAGCCTAGGAGGGTCCTCCAAGCAGAGCTGCTAGCAGGATCCCAACACTGGCTCATTGTGTAACCATGCTCAGTATTCTTCTGTATGTCTAGCTGCATCAGCTGTAAATGGCTAGATATCACACTTACTGCAAAGGCACACTGACGTTACTGAGAGTGGATTCCTATATCATAGGGAGGACAATTCTGCATCCATCCTCTTCCTGCTCATCCCAACTGAAGATGAGCTGCAAACTTCCTGGATTCATGCTGGGAGCCTGAGGAGTGCTTGCATCACAGCCACCACAGATTCAGTGCTCACTGACAGTTGATTACAGAGTCACCCAAGTCCAGAATCAGGCAGGCCCCTCATTATTCAAGAAATACCCTAGGCAGGGCTGGCTGCTGTCATGATCTGAGCCTTTCCCCAAGCACATTTGAAGACTTGGGGTAGTTCTTGGTAGCTTCCAGGTCCACGGCCCCACAGAAGACATCTTCCAGATGCCTTCCTCAGGCCAGGCTGCTGGGCCACTACAGTCAGCTGACCCAATCCTTAGTCCAGGTGAGTCTCCATGTCCATACAGGTGTTGGGGGCCTCTGTTATGTGAAGTAGAAGTCTCTTCATATCCAGATAGCTCACGAGCTCGGAGTTATGTGCTGAGACTCCTTTCATAGCGGGGTGCCTTCCTGGCATATCGTAGGACTGTTTGTTCCTTTGTACAGCTGAGTCTCCATGTCCATCCTGGTGTTGGGGGCCTCTGTTATTTGAAGTAGAAGTCTCTTCATATCCAGATAGCTCACGAGCTCGGAGTTATGTGCTGAGACTCCTTTCATAGCGGGGTGCCTTCCTGGCATATCGT